AGTTCGGAGAGTAAAAAACAAGGGATATTAGTATTGTCACATATAAAATGATTTATTCATAAGTCTGTATTCATAAAGTAATATTTTTGTGCGAAATATACAATCATATTTGTTAATTAATTGTATTCTAAGAAGAAAACAATAGGTTTATGGTAGCTGAAATAGGTTATAAAATACTTTCGATTTAAAATTTTATTTAAATATCTATTTAAAAAAAATCCGTCAAGCGTTGTTCCGTACTTCCTCGTGCTTTCATTTGGATCATTTGACATAATTAAAAGGAATTTGGATTTTAAGAAATCAACTAAAGGCTTTGATTTATCTTTTGAAAAATCTACTTTAAAATTCTCACTTAAAATCATAGGTAATTTGTTCAGAAGACCCGATCTGGCTTTGTGAATTTTGGTTGTAATTTAACAATATTCAATTCTATCCATGAAATAATTTAAGCAAAGGGATAGTAAGACAGACAGTTGATTCGGAAGAGAGGAATCTATGTCAAAACCTTTAAAAGGGGATTTAATCAGAAGATTTACATCACAAAATCTTTAGTTTATACTAGCTCTTTTGTCACTGTATGGCAGTTTTGTACAAATATATACGGTACTGCTACAAGGTAAGTTTTCTTGTATTTTGTTTTCTTGTATTTAAATTATTTAATGTAACTTTTTCTTAATACCTGTATACTTAGTTTTGTTATTTTAAATTTTAAATTATTTTAATTTTCTTTTTAGACTCAAAGTATATTTAAGTAATGTGATAAATAAAACTATTTGTTCATTGCTATTCCGATTCGCTTACAAAAATATATTTTTATTCTTAAATTCACTGCAATATTGCTAATGATATAATTATGCTATTTACTTAGTTCTATAAGAATTTGTCCTTTTTCTACATTTTGTTTAATTTTAGTGTAGGATTTCTCTCTCTCTCTCTCTCTCTCTAAGCCTATTTTTAAAAAACATTGCATGTTTCATTTTCATGCTTTTACCAGGATTAGAAAGAATCCCGCATTCATTTTGGTAGAAAGAGGTGGTGGTGGGGAGATCCCCACTTAGATCGAAGCTGCAATAGGAACTTTACTTTTACGGCGTATTAGTGGAGGGACAAACTATCGCGTTTCATGTCGTTTTGGAGTGGAGAGGGGTGGGGGGAAACTTACCTCCTTTTCTTTTTTAGGGGTGTGTATGTCGTGGCCTTGCACGAGCACGATTTCTGACTAAAGATGAAAGAAGCTGAATGAGCGTTACCAACCCGAGCGTGACGTCCATTCAAGCTCACTCTCCAGCAAAACGCGCCAATAGAAGTTATCACTTCAAAAAT